GAGATCCACCTGGCTCTGCCTCCCGAGTGCTGGGATTAAAGGCGTGCGCCACCACCGCCCGGCCGTAAATAAATTATTAAAAAAAAGAAATTCTTAATTTTTATTTTTATGTCTATGGGTGCCTGCAGGCATATCTGTGCACCACATGCATTGCTAGTGCTCACAGAAGCCAGAAGAGGGATCACATCTCCTAGAAGTGGAGTTACAGATGTAAGGCACTATATTGGTGCTGGGAGTCCTCTGGAGCAAGTGTTCTTAACTGTTGACCCCTCTCTCCAGCCCCTGTCATTTTCAAGTTTGCCAAAATAGGAGGGGGGGAGAGCTGAATCTTGTCATGGAGACAGATCACAGAAGTCAAGAACTGCCAGTTCTGAAGTGCTTGGGTTCAAGTAATACTTGAGCACTTACTAGCTGTGTGCTGTGGACATGGAAGCATTACAAACGCCTGTGAGGCAGATGGTCTGGAACACAGTAGGAGCTTTGGTTCCCACTGTACTGCAATTCTGGACCAGAATGGGTCTGGAGTACAACATTGTTTAAAAAATAAAACCAATAACCTAAAGGGCTGAAGAGATGGCTCAGAAGTTAAGAGCTCTCTGCTGAGGATTCAGGTTCAATCCCAGTACACATAGCAGCTTATAACTGACTCCAGCTCAAGAAGAATCCAATACCTTCTGGTTTCAGTGGGCATCAGGCATGCACATGGTGCACAGATATAAACGGAAGGAAAACACTCATACACATAAAAATGAAATCAGTCTTAACTTTTTAAAGAGGATATGAATTTTTCTCTTGAGGAGTCAGGACTGTCTGTCCCGTGCTGGGGTTGTGCTGTGTACACTCTGGTCTCTTGGGTTTGGTTGTGTCGTCAGTGTAGGTTGTGGTTGGCGTGTGGAGCTGGAGTGGGGTGGTGACATGTGTACCTGGGATGCTCTAGGTCCCATTCCCAGCTTCACACATGAAGGGTCTTTATTTTGGGGTCAGTAACCACCCCCGTTCACCCCCTTGGATGCTAGGTTGGAACTCAGTACCTGTGCATACTGGGTTACATGTACCACTGAGCTCCGTCACTACGTCACTCGCCTTGTACTCTTAGATAGGCTCTGTTACAGACTTTTGTTGATCTAACTTAAGAAAATTTCATTGACATGGAATTTAAAAGATTAAGAGTAGACATGAAATGCTTGTGTAAAAGAGCAAAACAATCAGTATTATATAGAGTAATAGCATATGAAGGAATAGCAACAATCATCCTTCTAGATTGAACTGTAAAAGCAGAAGAGAAAGAAGCACTTATAATCCCAGCATTCCAGCACTGAGGCAGGAGGATCATGTTGTGGAAGCCCACTTGGGTTATGCAATAAAACTGACTAAAAAACAAAAAAAGGAGACTGGAGAGATAGCTCAATAGTTAAGGGCACTGGCTACTCTGCCGGAGGACTGGGGTTTAGTTCCCAGCACCCATATGGTGGCTCACAATCAACTGTAACTCCAGTTCAGGGAATCTGATGCTGTTTTCTGGCCTCAAGGAACACTGCACATAGGTGGTTCACAGATACATGTAGGCAAAATATTCATATACATTTAAAAAAATGCACCCTTTAAAAAAGAAGTCCTTGAGGAGATGTAGTAATTTAAGGTTCTGCTGTGTAGGGATGGGGAGGAAAGTGGAGACAGAGGTAAGGGTCTTATGTTCTGGTCTGAAATCTGTTCACAGCCTTTCCAGTGTTGACTGTTTCTGTCCTTTCATCCTGGCAGGTCTTAGAGCCTTCTTTTCGCCAGGCCTTCCCCAATACCAACCGATGGTTCCTCACCTGCATTAACCAGCCCCAGTTCAGGGCAGTCTTGGGGGAAGTGAAGCTGTGTGAGAAGATGGCCCAGTTTGATGGTAAGTCTGAAGAGACAGCATGTGATCAGGGTCAGGGTTTGATGGTAAGTCTGAAGAGATAGCATGTGATCAGGGTCAGGGTCCAGTTTGTTCCTGTCAAGCCCTTGATTTGTATAGCCTTTGACTTTTGGTGACCTATAGAACATAGGGTATCAAATAGTAACTGACATATTGGAATGCAGTGTGTGTGATAATGTGTGTTTGTTCCTTGAGGCTTGTTTGGACAACCAAATGCCTCACCAGCATTTTTCCCTGCTTGCTGCCTGGTTTGGAAGAAAATGGAAAGAGGCAGAATATTTACTTTCTTCTTTCCTTTACCAGCTAAGAAGTTTGCAGAGAGCCAGCCTAAAAAAGATACTCCAAGGAAAGAAAAGGGCTCACGAGAAGAGAAACAGAAGCCCCCCCAGGCTGAGCGGAAAGAGGAAAAAAAGGCTGCTGCCCCAGCTCCTGAAGAGGAGATGGATGAGTGTGAGCAGGCACTGGCTGCTGAGCCCAAGGCCAAGGACCCCTTCGCTCATCTGCCCAAGAGGTAAGCATGTTGGGAGGCGTTCTTAACCTTTGTTCCTCTGACATATCTGGGGCTGCAATTTTAGGTTGTTTGTGTAAATACTGATGGATGTAAGTGTAGTCAGGTCTCATTGTAGTTCAGGCTGGCTTATGAGGAGGCTGTGTGGCAGAGGATGCCCTTGAATTTCTGACTGATCTTCCTGCCTCCACCTGGGATGTCACCAATATGGAAGTCCTGTGTTTTGTTTGTTTGTTTTTGTTGTTTATGGTTTTTCGAGACAGGATTTCTCTGCAGCTCTGGCTGTCCTGGAACTCACTCTGTAGACTAGGCTGGTCTTGAACACAGAGATCTGCCTGCCTCTGCCTTCCCAGTGCTGGGATTAATGGTATACACCACCACTGCCTGGCTTCCTTCTGCTTTTCTTTTTCTAAGACAGAGTATCGATATGTAGCCCTGGTTGACCTGGAACTCTTTGCATAGACCAAACTGGTCTCAAAATCACAGAGGTCACCTGCCTCTGCCTCCTAAATTCTGGGGTGCACTACCATGCCTGAAATCCCTTTTATTTGTGATGTATGACTTTGTGCCCCTGGGTGTGCATGTGTAAAGGCTAGAGGCTAGAGGTCAACAGATGTCTTCCTGTTTGGCTCCCCACCTTTTTTTTTTTTTTTTTTTTTCCCTTTTGAAATCTCCCACTAAACCTGAAGCTTGACGTTTTTGCTCGCCTAGCTTCTCACCCTGAAGATACCTCTAGCCCTCTACCCTCGCCCCGGGGTACAAATGCTAGCCACCATGTGCAGCTTTTAAAAGTACAAATGCTGGGGATCTGAATTAAGTTGCTCATGCTTGCATAGCAGGCGGTCTCCCTGCTGAGCCGTGTCCTCAGTCTGCTAGAATTCTCTAATAGATGGACAAAAGCAGAGGTTTGCCTTTTTTTTTTTTGTTTTTTTTTTTTTTTTTTGAGATAGGGTCTCACTGTCTCAAAGGCAGTCTGATGGGCTCGCCTGTGCCTCCCAAGTATGGTGTATGCCACCATGCCTGTCTTCTTTGGGTTTGTATTGTTTTGAAGCAGGGCCATTCTGTGCAGACAAAGCTGCCTGAATTAACAGGACCTCCTCCCCTTGTGCTCCAAGTACTCCCATTATGGGAGTGTCCCCAAAGTCTAGCATCTTTACTTTTCTCACCACATTTTCTGCCCTTCCCCAAACCATTTTCTTTGCACTTTGCTGGTCTGCTGAGGCTTCATACTAGTTTTCTCCTTGCCGGGACCACTGGGGAAAAGCAGTTAAAAGGAGGGAGAATTGTTTTGTTTCATGGTTTGATGGCAACCAGGAATGTCATTTTACTGGTAGTCAGGGAACAGAGACAGATAAACGTTGTGACTCACTGTCCCTTTTTATTCAGCCTGTGACCCCAGTCCTTAGGGTAGTATTGCTCAGTGAGACTGTGTCATCCAGTCTGTTAGATTTCCTTGGAAACATCCCTAGGCGTGTCCAGAAGTGGTCTCCCAGGTGATAAACCCAGTCAAGTTGACTGAGAAGAGCCATCCAGGTTCAGTTTTGACCTGCCTGCATTTTGTGATGTTTTAACGTGATTACCCTGTGAACCAGCATGTGGAAGCACTCTGGGGACAGCTGTGGGTGGTGGCTGGAGAGTTGTACATGGCGGGCATGGACACTAACGGGCAGGGATTTCTAGCTAAGAGCCTTAATTTCTAGGTTTGTTTTTTTGTTTTTGTATGAGACCAAGAAAACTTCAGCATTAGCTGCTTAAGTTGTGTGTGTGTGTGTGTGTGTGTGTGTGTGTGTGTGTGTGTGTGTGTGTGTGTAGGATTGGAAGGTGCTAGGGCTGGATTAGGTTCATTTAAGACAACCCTGCTCACAGAACAACGCATCAAGTCTGAATCAAGGGATTGACTCCAGCCTTGCACTAGTATAGATCTAACGAGCAAGATTTTGATTTAAAACCTATTATATATTCTGTTGTACTATAGACACTTAAATGTGGTAGGTCTGTATTATGGACAGAAAATAAATCAAGTAACAAACAAAGTACTTGAAAAGCTTTGCTTCTTCTGCCTTTTCTCTTTAAAAGTATTTTTAAAATTAATTTATTTTGTGTGAGTTGGGCCTGCTCTTGCCAGCCATAGAGAGTGCACTGATGTGGATAGTCAGTTCTTTTTCTACTATGTGGGTCTTGGGAATCAAGTCAGCTCACCGGCTCACGGAGCAAGGGAGCAAGCGCCTTTACCCGCTGAGCCTTCCTGCTGGCCCTTATGTACCTTTGAGAATGTTAATTTAATGCCTATTTGTTGTGTTACCATTGATGCCCTTCTGGGATGCCAAAAGTATTTTCCCTCGGGACTGTATTATTTGCTGTTGGTTGGTGGCTGGTTCTGTTTTTTAGACAGATTCTCAGACTGTGTAGCTAAGCGTGACCTTTACTCCTGGTCCTCCCTTGTCTCAGTCCCAAATGCTGGATTGCTGACACGAGCCACCACATCTCGCTTCTCTTAGGGCAGCTCTGGCTGTCCTGGAACTCACAGAGAGATCGACTTGCTTTCTGCCTCCTGAGTGCTGGGATTAAAGGAGTGTCTCACCATGTCCCACATCCCTCAGCCTTTTTTGGTTTTTTGAGATGGTTTCTTTGTAGCCTTGACTCTGTAGACCAGACTGGCCTCAAACTCAGATCTGCCAGCTCCCTAAATGCTGGGATTAAGGCCCCTTAGGCTTTTTGATATCATAAAATTGAAGTCAGTGGCTTAACTTTCATTTGTTCAAGGTTTCCTTCTGGTCCCTTTAAGATCTCCAGCTGGATGAGTTTCAGGAGCGTATGTTTATTGTTTTGTATGTACATATATACCCACATACATTTGAGGGTACTGGGTATTGAATTTGGGGCTTCACCCATGCTTAGGCATTTGCTGTACCACCTAGCTGGACCGCCAGTCCTAGTTTTTTGAGGCAGGATCTTGTTATATTCCTATGCTGAGATTACAGATGCAGACCAAAGCTGATGTTTATTATTTGGGCAAAAAACAGATGGAGTGTGAAAAAGTCTTCAGTCCTACCTTTTGGCTGGAAGAGGAAGTTTTGAGGTTTTCAGGCCCCTCATAAGGGTTGTCTGGTGGACATTTGGAGACCAATCTGGACCTGTGGTTAAAGGGCCGATTTCTGGCTTTGCTACAGTATAACCTTGGATCAGACTCATCATTTAACCTCATCTGTAAAATGAAAGAAAGGTAGCAGTGTAATTTAGGTATTGTAAGGATTGAGCAGAAATAATGTGATACTTAGACTGTAGCTTTTGACAGGGTCTTGTGGAGCTCAGGCTGGCCTTGGAGCTTGTTATGTCTGAGGATGACCTTGGACTACTGATCCTCCTGCCTCTACCTCAAGCACTGAAAGTACTTGAAGTAATATTTATGCCTTGCTGGTGTGTGTGTTTGAGTGTGTATTTGAGACAGGGTTTCTCTTTGTAGCCCTGGCAGTCCTGGAATTTATTCTGAGACCAGGCTGGCCTTGAACTCAGATCCTCCTGCCTCTGCCTTCTAAGTGCTGAGATTACAGGCGTGGGCCACCACTGCCTGGCCATTTATTATTTTTCAAAGTTTCTATAGAAGTTATTTTATGTGTAGGAGTGTTTGCCTGCATGTTTGTCTGCACCATGTGCTCGCGTAAGGCCTGAGGCGGTCAGAAGAGGGTATCAGATCCCCTGGAACTGGAGTTAAAGATGGTTGAGAAACATTTATAATTGGAAAGGAAAAGAAAAAAAGGAACCTGAGCCATGGGGGAAATAATACCTCCTGTGCCTGTGCTAGCTTTCTTGGCATCTGGATATCTGACTCTTGAGTATCAGGTTACTTTGGTAACTTTTTCTTTTGGTTTTTTTTTTTTTTTGAGACAGGGTTTCTCTGTGTAGCTTTGGAGCTTGTCCTGGAACTCACTCTGTAGACCAGGCTGGCCTTGAACTCACAGAAATCCACCTGCCTCTGCCTCCCAAGTGCTGGGATTAAAGGCGTGTGCCACCAGGGACTAGAGGAAATGGGCATAAAGATTGAGGTAGCTATCCTCTGCTTGTATTCTGGTTCCAGCCTGTAACCTGAGAAGGTCTGTGGTAGGGAGGGAGACTTAGGTGAGTTTGACTTGAGCACTGACTTGTAGTTCCTGGGGACTACCTACATTGTAGCCCAATGTAGGTTCTGGGGAATGTCCAGGAGGGGCTAGAGAGGGAAACACATACTACCTTGCTTTTAGTCACCACCTGGGGGCAGCAGCCAGCTGTGTTGTCCTTGCTGGACCCAGCAGATGCTCTGGGTCCTGGCTTCCTCATGCATGTCTAGCACTCTCAGGTCCAGAAATGTCTTAGCTCTTGTTCTTGCCCCTCTAGCTTTCTTCGCTTATAATGCTATTAGTGTCTTTCACTACATTACAGGGACCACTCCCTTCAAAGCAGTAAATACCAAGTGAAAACGCCAGTGGCCCAGAGATACTTTGTAGTCGCAGCAGGACTTTCTCCTTATTGGCCTCCTTGTGTTTTCTCTTCTCTCTAGTACCTTTGTGTTGGATGAGTTTAAGCGGAAGTACTCCAATGAGGACACCCTCTCTGTGGCACTGCCATATTTTTGGGAGCACTTTGATAAGGATGGCTGGTCCCTCTGGTATGCCGAGTACCGCTTCCCTGAAGAGCTCACCCAGACCTTTATGAGTTGCAACCTCATCACTGGTGAGAAGAGGAGTGGGTTTGGGAGTAGGGAGATCAAGGTAGTGGGGACATGATTCCAGAGGCTGAATAGTCTCCCTTTTTCCCTCCAGGAATGTTCCAGCGATTGGACAAACTGAGGAAGAATGCCTTTGCTAGTGTCATCCTCTTTGGAACCAACAACAGCAGCTCCATTTCTGGCGTTTGGGTCTTCCGAGGCCAAGAGCTTGCTTTTCCGGTGAGGAAGGTGCTGGGGGGGTAGTCTCTTCAAATGAGCAAGAGTATAGAAAACTGGGAGAGGCCGGGCGGTGGTGGCGCACGCCTTTAATCCCAAGACTCGGGAGGCAGAGGCAGGCGGATCTCTGTGAGTTCGAGGCCAGCCTGGGCTACCAAGTGAGTTCCAGGAAAGGCGCAAAGCTACACAAGAGAAACCCTGTCTCGAAAAACCAAAAAAAAAAAAAAAAAAAAAAAGAAAACTGGGGGTCTTGGGCCTTCGCCAGTGGGTATGGGGAAATCTTCTGGATTGTACATAGGAAGTATGTTCATATCTGTGTGAGTCCTAGCATCTGATGTCTGAGCTGGAAATTGCAGGGATGTGGAGCCATGTCCAGTGTCTAACCACATACCTTTGTACTGTTTTTTGTTTTTTTTAAATCTCCAGCTGAGTCCAGATTGGCAGGTGGACTACGAGTCATATACATGGCGGAAACTGGATCCTGGTAGTGAGGAGACCAAGACCCTGGTTCGAGAGTACTTTGCCTGGGAGGGGGCCTTCCAGCATGTGGGCAAAGCCGTCAATCAAGGCAAGATCTTCAAGTGAACATGCCTTGCCGTCACCTAGCTGCCTGCACCTACCCTTCAAGGGAGATGGGGGTCATTAAAGGAAACTGAACATTGAACCCTGTCCTGTCCTGCCTCCTTTGTGAGTGGTGGCTTCTTCAAAGTTGTAGCCTGTGCCTGAGGCATCACTGGCAGTCAGAAGTTTTCAGAAGAGAAGGAGTAGAGGCCTGGCCTCGGTTTTGCCTTTCCTGCCCTGCTTCCCCACACTGATGCTCTTGTAGCTGGGAAGATGGGGAACAGCCTGGGTGATGACATGGGGCTCGGTTACACCAGATTCTTAGGAATTGTGTTGGAGAGAGTGTCTGCTGAGGACGCTGAGCCATGGAGTGGCTCACGGTATGCAGAGGAGGTTTTTGTCATAGCTGTTGTCTTCTGCATCTGTAGGGATTGGGTTCCTGGAGTCACCTCACGTCCTTGTCCTCATGCTCAGACACTTTATGTAAATGGTGCAGATGCTTTCATAGGACCTACACATATCCAGTGCAGTTAAGTGCTCTACAGAAAATAATGGTGAGAAAAGACCTGCTCAGGGTGTAGGTAGTTTTGTTGGATGTGGGTGTGCACATGCACTGTGGTCAAACCCAGGGCCTTAAGCATACTAGCTCCCCAGTTCCCAAGTGTTGGAAAGGCTTATTTCCTCACGGGGTGGGGTGAGTGGGTGGGTGGCACTATCCAAGCCTGCTGTTTAAATGCTACAAATATACTAGAAGACTAGCTATTTGGGATAGACACTTGTTTCTTGGCTGTGGATCAGCTCTGGTCATATCCTTTTTTTTTTTTTTTTAAATTTTTTTTTTTAATTTATTCATTATGTATACAGTATTCTGTCTGCATATATGCCTGCAGGCCAGAAGAGGGCACCAGATCTCATTACAGATGGTTGTGAGCCACCATGTGGTTGCTGGGTATTGAACTCAGGACCTTTGGAAGAGCAGTCAGTACTCTTAATCGCTGAGCTATTTCTCCAGCCCCATATTCTTTGTTTTAATGGTGTGTGTGTGTGTGTACACAATGCATGAATATGAAGCTACCCCAGGAGGCCAGAAGAGGGCGTTTGAGCCCCCAGAGCTGGAGTTATAGGTAATTGTGATTTGCCCAATGTAGGTTCTGGGAACTAAACTCAGGTCATCTGGAAGAGAAAGCGCTCTTAACTGCTGAGCCATCTTTTAGCTTCCGGTTTGTCTCTGAAACAGTTCTTGCTATGTAGTCCAGGCTGGCTTCAAACTTAAAACCCTGCCTCAGCCTCCCAAGTTTAGAATTAAAGGTGTCGGTGGGTGCTACCACCCAGGGATTGGTGTCTGCTTTCTAATAAGGGAAGTTCAGGGGTGGTTCACAGGAACTCCAGATAAACACTGAGGTGTCACATCCAGTAGGTGTCACTCTGAAGCCTGGAATACCAAGTCATTGTCATTTTTACCTCATATTCTACTGAGGCCAATAGCTACTATTAACCCCCACTTGGAACTTGATTTTAATACATTTTAAGGATTTTTTTTTAATTTTTTTTTTTTTTTTTTTAAAGATAGGGTCTCACTGTAGCCTGGACTAGCAGTGATCCTTTCGGCTTTCCAAGTGCTGGAGTTACAGGAATGAGCTACCATATCCAGATGTTTCCCTAAGTTTAATAGCTCACATTAGAAATTAGAAACAGCTGGGGTGGTGGTGGTGGCGGCGGTGCATGCCTTTAATCCCAGCACTTGTGAGGCAGAGGCAGGCGGATTTCTGTGAGTTCGAGGCCAGCCTGGGCTACAGAGTGAGTTCCAGGAAAGGCGCAAAGCTACACAGAAACCCTGTCGCGATAAATTTGGAAAAAAAAACCCAGAAACTAGGCTGGGTCCATACCTCAGTGTGGTATGAGAGTGCTCGTCTAGTATCTATGATGCCCTGTGGTCAGTCCTGTACTGCATACATTGGATGTGGTGCCATATGCCTGTAATCTCAGCATCCAGAGGGCAGAGGCAAAACTGTTGCAAGTTTGAGGCCATTTTAAGTATTGCCAGATCACTCAGTGCTACATAGTGAAACTGTTTGTAATTAGAGGGCAGAAGGGCAGGTTTGGTGTCACCCACCCTTCTGGAAGAAGAGGCCAGCCTGGACTACCTGACAACCTATGTCAAAAAGCAAAGGGATCAGAGACTAGTAAGTGCAGAAAGTTGCCTTCGATCATCTCTGGTACAGGATTTTGTGTTTGGGTTCTCTTATCCCATCCTTAGTCCAGGCATAGGAGAAGGATCTTGGAGGGATGAGGATAACCTTACCAGGGACAGGACTATTTCGGATCTGGGTGTTTGGGCCTGCAGCTGGGGTTTTGTAAAGGAGTGGGTGGCTAGTGAGAACTCTAGTTTGGAATCTGCATGGCTGAGGATGGGTTGGTTCTTGCTCCAACGCTGCTCCCAGGCAGCACATCTTGAGTTGGATCCAAACTTGTCTCCTGTGCAGTTTGGCCTCCTGGATATTCTCACAGTACTGGATGCTGGTGTGGGGTGTGTCTGTGTCTTTGTTGCTGGGGCCTCACTGAACCTGTCAGACTCCTAAATTCCATTTCCCACCCCACCCCTCTGCTTGTGCAGCCTTCACTCTGTGTCCGCTTCAACTTCCCAACAGCTGAGGCAAGAAGGCCACCTGTGTGCCTCTTCAGGGGTGGCCTCTTCCTAGGAGGAAGGCCTGGCTGTAGAAGGGTGGGCTTCCTTGGGGTGGGCCAGGGTTTGGGCAGCAGGCTGCCTGGTAGCCTTCTTGGTCTGGACTGGAGGTGTGCAGGGACCCTCACCTTCATCCTCCCTCTCTGAGGCTCCCTCTCTGCAGGAAGGGTGACTCATCTGCATGTCCTGCTTCATGCTTCTGATACTGGTGGTTTGGTGCAGGGTGCAGTGTGGCCAGGTTGTTAGGTAAAGCCTGTACCTGGAGACCAGTACACACAGCCGAGGAGAGGATAAGGAAGGCTGCTGGGATGGGCCCCTGGGAAGGGTTAACAGGAGTTTCTAGTGTGTGTGTGGGGGGGTGCAGCCGGGGAGCACATCTGGGCTTAGTTCTGTCCCGCCCTGCCCTGGGGAGGCCTGAGTCACCACAGTGCCAGCCTGGCCTTCCCCCATCTCAGCTTGGGCTGGAGGTATTGTGTTAGAGCCTAGTCTGCCTCTGCCATCAGCCACCAATACAAGTGTGAGCCTGTGAATGTTTCTGGGTGCTAGGTAGTTTTCCCTGTGTGCCAGGGGCTCCATGCCACCAGCCACTGTCTAGAGTTGGCAGCACTATGCACACAAGCTGGCAGAGTTGGGGGTCAAGGGCAGAAGGGGACGGGGTGTTGGGAATGGGTCACCTGAGAACACAATAGGATCTTGGAAAACTAGTGGAATGAGGGAAGGAGGCCATTGTATCCCCACTTAATGGGCAGACTCAGAGCTCGGAGGGAGGTTGAAAAAAAGAGGGGTCAAGGCCTAAAGTTGCAGTTGACTCAGATACAATCTTTGCAGAGCCTGGAGTGTGAATGGGAAGGCAGAGCCTTGGCTTAGTTTGTAGATAAGCCAGTAGATACTGGTCATAAGCAGCTATTTTAGCTTTGCTGGCAATTCTGCATAAGTCACTTATTACAATTAAAATTTTTTAAAGTTCTTCCAAGATGGACCTAGATTGTCTTTTTTTTTTTAAATTCATATCTTGCTCTGAGCCAGATCTGGACAGCTGCTTCTCACTGGGTTGGACCCATCCCACCAGCTGCCCACATGCCCCAAATGTGCCACTTCCCCCTTTGAAAGATGAGGGGGGTGCATACTCGAGTGTTGAAGAGGAATGAAGTGCCTTGAGTGCCCCACCCAGGCATTTCTGAAATTAAGTTTCCATGGCAACCAGCACTTCTCAGAACTCAGAATGTCCCTCCGTACATATCAGATGGATTGTGGTAGGTGGCTATAGCTTGCCCAGACTCTTGCAGTGGGAGACTAACAGTATAGTGTAACGTCGTCATTTGTTCTGGTCCTCTGTGTTTAGATATAATTAAGGGTACCCACCCTGTTTGCTTCCCTAATGCTGTGCAGCTGAAATATTGATGCTCCTGAAAGTTAGAGATGCTGCCACCTGCTCCTGTCTGTGTGCTCTAATCAGGCTGGCATGGCTCCCAGAGTAGACCGTTTCTTACTCCAGTGAAATTCTGGGATGTCCTGTGCTCCAGTGCCTGGGGCTTGGGTAGAGACCCTTCTCCAGGGGATGGCTGTAGAGTATTACTGTTCACTTTAATTATAAGAGGAAAAATACTTTGGGTATTGTAGTAGTGGTTCATTTGGATATCTCATTTTCTGCGTCCCCCTCCAGTAGTCCAAACCCCCCTTTATTTCCCTGATTTCCACAGGAAGCCTGTAGATTTTTTTTTTTTTTTTGAAAGAGGGTCTTAGGTAACTTGGGCTAGCCTTGAACTCATACAGCAGGGAATGACCTTGTTCTATTCTCCCTTCACCTTAGTGCTAGGATCCCAGGTGTGTGATACTGTGACTGGATTATATAATGCTGGGGAACCCATGGCTTTGTGCATGTTCAGAAAGTTCTCTACCAATTGAGCTACATCCCCACCCCTGACTGTACAGATCAGGAGCTGGGTGGCCAGACTGTGGCACTATTTTCTGATAGGATCTCCCATGGAATGTGCCTCTATTTCCAGCTGTCCCATCCCCGTGCAGAAGCAGCAGCTGTCATGTGAAAGCGTGGAGCTGGCTCAGCCCTTTTGCAATTATCTGGCTGGTTCTGCCAGGACTGGGGGTGGACAGTGAGGATGGGCAGAGCTCATGGTAGTTGGGAGCATGGCAGGGCAGGAGGGAGCTGGTGGAGCTAAGGAGAACCGGCTCTGAGGGCTGAGGAAGGGTTGTCCTGGTCAAGTGGGAGGAGCAGAGAGCAGCTGAGCAGGAAAGGGAGACAGAAAGGCTTCCGGCATAGGAAGTGGGGCATTGAGATGGGAGGACAGCTTTGTAGATGCAAGGGAGAGTTTTCTAGCGGGACCCTAGCCAGTCAGGGAGATCCTCATTTCCCCTGACTCACTGCAGAGCTATAGTCCTTTACCATGTGGTGCTTGAGTCAC